CTTCCAGCCCTGTCCAGCAAGTGCAAACAACGCACGACGGTGGTAACGCTGGACAGGCATGCGCAATACGTGTCCCAACCACCGCAGTTGATGCAGTGAGATGAGCTCCTCGAGCGAGTGGCTTCCACGTCCCAAGACACGCTGTCTAACTTCCACATTGCTTACGTGGTGCTGCCACCACACACGGGCAATGGACCGCAGACAGCGGTGCTCGAAGACGGATAGCCTGCGCAGGTCATCTTTACGAATGGGCCAGGTCTCGCATTCGTACAACAGTACAGCACGAACAGTTGCACAATAGACCCGCCCTTTGATGGAGAGACAAATGTCGTGGCGACGCCACAAATGCCTCAGCCTAGAAAAAGCGAGGCGTGCTTTCGAGATACTCATCGAAATCTCGTCTCCAACAGCCCCGCCAGCAGTGATGCAACTTCCCAAGTAGACAAAGCTCTCCACAACCTCCAGTGTCTCACCAGCAAGCGTGAGTGCAGGCAGAGGCACCTGCCAGTCTTGAAGGAGAGCCTTGCATTTGGATGGCGAAAAGCACATACCATACTTTGATTCTTCAATCGTCAAGCGGTTTAATGCAAGTTGGACGACCTGTGGATCGTCACCTAGCAAGACGATATCATCAGCATAATCCAAATCAACAACTCGACTACCTGGGAGGAGCTCAACGCCAGCGTTCAACGAATCGCTCAGAGCGTTCTTCAGGACATCCTCAATGGCAAAGTTGAATAGGAACGGAGAGATAGGGCATCCTTGTCGAACTCCACTGGAGACCACAAAGGTAGGCGAAAGCATGCCATAAGCCCTAACCCTGCCCGAGGTCAGACTGTATAGAGCGCGCAGTATGGAGACGAACTTCTCGGGGACACCGTTCCTCAGAAGGCACTGCCACAGTACTGTACGATCGACAGAATCGAAGGCAGCACGGATATCCAGGAACACAGCAATCGTTGGCCTCTGATACACATGGCGGAGCTCGAGGATCTGGCGAAGTGTGAAGATTTGATCGATGCAGCCGCGACCAGGGCGAAACCCAGCTTGTTCTTCTCGCTGCAACGATTCGCGTGTTGGGGATAGCCTGCGAAGTATGATGGACACCAGCAGCTTGCAAACGACGGGGACTAAACTTATTCCTCTGTAGTTGGAGCAGATTGTGCGCAGGCCCTTTTTGAAGATGGGTACGACTATCGATTCACCCCAAGATGATGGAACCTTCTCTTTCGACCAAATTTTCGAGAACAAAACGGTGAGTTCTCGGACCAGCGATGCGCCACCATCTTTAAATAGAGCTGGGTGAAGACCATCAGGACCGGGAGCTTTATAACGCTTCAGGTGCCGGAGCTCCTGCTCGATTTCCTGGGAAGAGGGAGGGTCTGTTGGGGTAGACCACTCGGCCCCAGCGCGAGCGCCAGAGGTAGCAGATGGAGCTGGGGGCCAACAAAACTGCGAGCCAAAATGTTCGGCCCATCGCTCCAACCGTCGTTGAAGATTGGTGATTAAGGTGCCATCCTCTTCGCATATTGTTTCACTTATACCAGATCGAACACCTTCGGTGACTCGAAGGAGATGGAAGAGTTTCCTGGTATTACCACAGAGACTAGCAAGCTCCATCTCCCTAGCACGTTCACACCACCAAGCTTCGCGGTCCATTTGCAGACTCCTGCGCAACTCTCGACCAAGGTATTGGCGTTCTTCAACGTGTCTCGAATCCGATGGGATCAAGCGGCGTTTGTCCATCAGCGACAAGGAGTCGGCGGAAATCCAATGTTTCGGTGGGTGACGGGTAACTCCACAAGTGTCGATACTGGCGGAAACTAACGCATCTTTGATATGCGCCCACTGCGAATCGAGATCACCGTCAATAGTTGAGCCAAGCAAAGTTGACAGTGAGGCTTGGTACCTGGGGCGCCAAATTAGTTAACATAAATCTGAGGTACGGAGCAATTCCCCCTCCGCGACGGCTTGAAGTGCGATCAAATCGTAGTATAGTGTAACCTAGTCGATATATTTCACGGTCCAGGATGTCAGAGAGCAACCATATCTCAGTGAAAGAAAGTACGTCTAACCTTCTACAAGTGTGCAGATCTCGCACATCCTGTTCTTCAAACTACGCACGTTGCTAAGGGCTACTTTAAGAAAACAAATCGTGGGTCACCAGAATGGGCTCTGGAAGGGTGGAAGTGGACCTACGACTTACCACCAGAAAATCCGCCAACTGAAGACCCTTTTAATCAACTTTGTAGCAGGCTTTCAGACCCTTGTTGGCGTCTTTTAATTTCCTCTTGTCAGCTGAAAGGAGGTGAGGGTGAATACTGACCCCACAACCTTTTATTTTAACCCTACTAGACCCGAGGCGTTGCACTTAACTGTGCACTATCTCTTGGCTCCTGATCATTAAAACGAAAAATCAACATGATGTAGAAAAATGTTAGTTACATACAAACAAGTGTTTGAAATAAGATGGAATTTAGAGACATGGTAGAAAATTGGTCTAGGCAGTATGGCAGCAGGATCGGAGATTACCGAAATCTCGGTACTCCGGTCTGGTAAGGTTAAAAGCGAGGCGCAAAGCGCTTTACATTCATCTGGTGTTGAGAGAACAACTCTCAGTAAACGGGTGTGATATACGACATGTACACCGACACGGCACCAAGTCGGTCCATAACCTCACAACTCTGCCTTGTAATCCGTGGAGGCGGATACGAGCCTACATAGGAACCGAGCGACCCTCGCAGTGTCCTTAATCTGCGTACGACTGTTGGGGATTGCGCGGCAACGAAGCGTCGGTACTGCGTACCGGCCTACTACTGATGCCTTTCTTTTCTACCAATGCAATAGTTTAGAAACGCAGATCCTAAGACAGAGGTGATCAAGCATTCGCTCCCTTGGAAGAGCCGCAGTCGACTGCGTGGCATTCACGAAAATGACGCTACTATCAGTATAAGAATCACTACGAAGATGGGTATCTACTCCACGCACCACAGTCACGGGAGCCTGCAACTGGGTGGATGGGATCGTGAACGCGATAATGGTGTAAGAAGATACTTGCAGCAGGGATACAGTAGGACTCGTCAGCCGGTGGCTGCGTGGTATGCGCACCTGGTTTGCAACCATAAGGTTACCGGTTCGAATCCGCTCAAAAGTGGGCGTCCTCGACGTATTCTCAACCCGCGCGCAACTGGTGATGGTCGCGTGGTAGAGAAGCGCCGTCAAGGCGTGCAGCTAGCGATTTTTATTTCTTTTTTATAGTAGGACTCACATCGGGTGGCTCTGCAGGCAACGTGTTTGCACGACATTCTGTGCGTTCGATAGCTGCCACAAGTTGCATACGTCATTCTTCTTCTTGCAGCGCCTACTTTTTGCAAACATGGTTTGCAGCTTTTCACCGCTAATTTTGGAATAAACAAATATCTCCAAATGCTCATCGCCAAGTTGTTTGTTAGCTGTTGTCGGAAAAGATATCAGAACGACCGGATCTATTGGGATACTACCACCGGCATATTTTACCTGACCGAGAACACCTTAGGATGCCAATCGCTCCACCAGCCCATCAATTTTCCCACTCAACAACAAAGGTAATATTCGTTCCATGTTTGCTAGTCTAGAAACCAGAAAATCGAGACACTCCTTCGTGATCACACAGGGTCGAGTTTTAAACCTACGACAGTCGTCACCCCTATAAATTGAACTCTCGCTGCTTTCCGGAAGAGCACACTTTTCCGCAGTCAGCTCAGTTCATGCTTCATGGATCCAGTTATCACAAAGATCGCATTGCATTACCACCTTACAAGTCGGGTACAGGCTCAGAACACCTGGCAATGCCACATAGAGAAATTGGATTAGCTGATTGAAGACTCAACGGCACACTAACGATATTTTGCACCACTGTACCAGGAAAAGGAGTGAAGTTACGTAAACGGAACAAAAAATGTGGATCGGCTATCGATGGCCCACAATACAGCCAACGAGAGCACAGTCGGATAGCACCGCAAGTGACAAGCGCGCGGCAATTCGAACTCACTGATGTGTACTCGATGTAGTGCGCTCCTTCGACCGGGATGATATCCACTCAAAATTTGGAAATTGATGAAAGCTTGTAAGGTCTTCCAAGAAAACAGCGAGTTTTATGTACGTTATCTTGTGAACATTGCTTCACCGAGTATGAACGAAGTACGGAATAATATCCGCCAGAATGCTTCCGGTACGATGGGCGACTCACAAAATGCGAACTCCGATGAAATAAAACTGCAATAGATTCTCTGTGTGCCTTTGATGGAAAAATCGGCAAAAGGACCGCTCGCCAAAAGACCTTTGAATTTGCACAGGAAGCAAAATCCGTACCTCAGAGATTCCGATATATTGGGAATTTCTAAGCCCTTTCGGGTCGCACAAAAACTAAGTTGGATTTTCCCGTTCCGTTTTATTCAACACTGTTTGCACGATAATCATTCCTTAATGTTGAAAGAACTTCGTTGACATCGGTTAAACAGCCGCTGACGTTTCTTCTCTTTACCTTCACGTTTCGCTTACAACTATCACATGTAGTTGTTTTCACCATCAACTCAACACAGGGCCGATCCCCTCGGCAGCTGTAACAACTGTATCCAGCTTGCTATGAGATGTTAGCCAGTCACGTTTCATTTAGTTGGGTCTCTTGCTAAGTGGTTGGGATATGAGAATCCAGCCGCCTACAAGAATGGTCTACGTCAATGGTTGGATACCGTATCAGACATGGCGCAGTCACACAGTCAGTGGCGTTTCTGCATCCATTTTCTCTCATCTGGGGGTTAATTTTCGTTCCATTCCGATTAATTTAATGCACTTCCTTCTTGCTTCCATGTTATTTATACTCTATCTATATTCAACCCAACTATCTTGACAGTGTTATTTCTTATTCTTCTCGCGATTTGAGTCGTGGCAACTGGATCCACCGCTCCTCGGTGTTCGGATCATAGCTGATCAACTCAACTGACTGAACGAGGTACATATTTTGCATTGCAGCCCCAGGTCTTTTACGACCTACTTACGAATTGGACACTGAAGCTCTCGGTGTCCTCGACCGAACGCGTACTACACTACTGCTTATGAGAGTTCGATTAAAATTCCGAAATATATTTTACCCTCATGAGCTTCAATCGAGGGATGTTAAACTGATTGAGCTACTACTAGCGGCTTCGGATCTCTTCAAGGTCGATCTGTACGTATTCTTGTTTTAGGGTTTGTTCTAAGCCTAAGCTAGATCAAATGTTCAGTTGAGTTTAAATGCTAATGACTACTTTGGTATTGATGAATCCGACACACCCATTTCCCAATTGGGAATCGTTAGCGGCGACATCGTCTATGTCAAGTCTCTGGAAGCGCTTGATGACATCGCTCGGTCTATGGAGCTCGAGGTAAGACCATCCCATGTACGCAGCTAACATGAATACTTTTAAGATTGCCAACTCCATCCATTCCTTGTACAAAACCTTGAACACTGTTCCTCGCACCACAATCTTTCTCTACGCCATTCCGGTGTACCTATGTGCGACAACTAAGAAACTCAAGGTGCGTTCTCTTGTGCCATGCATTATTTCTACTTGGCTCTAGGGTGTCCGTGATTTTATTGATGATTTGTCCACTTCAAAGGACATTACTCGGTTACATTTTGAATATGGATCCACACCTTTGACGCACATTACCTTCACCCTATACACAACTGGGAACGTATTTTCGGTGGCCAGTGAGTTTACCTGTTCCGTGTCGCTTATATAACCGAAAACCTGCTGCCCGCATTATCTCCGTCGGGTTCCCGTAACACTGTCACCAACTAGTTTACCTCTGTTCTTGTTTTCGAGAGCATTCTTCGTCTCACTAGATGCACTTAATCTGAGTACTTTTGAGGAGTTGGCCTTGTCTTCACATTTTTAGGTACCATTTTGCTACACCCCTGTTATAGCGGTGGTAAGAAAACTGCACCACTCCCCGTTTTTGTGAGTTTACCCCATTCACTCTTATTCATACCGTCCTCTTTTACGGTTCCTCGCATACGTTCACTTTTGCCTCATATTTGTGATCAGCTTGTATTGACACTGAATCTTGTGCTTAATGGCTTTTCCCTTACTCTGTACATTTCGCTCGTTCGTGAGACACCGTATCGACCCTACGTCCCTGGAATGCCAGCCTTTCTGCATAGTCTGTGTATATGCCCTAATTTGAATCATGTGATTGACTTGGACACACAGACGCTTGGTGGCCGGTTTGGCGTGCGGCCTGAACAGTGTTTCCTACCCGGTCGTTCGTGTTCTCACTACCGTTAGTCATCATCGTCATCATCATTACATGTTAGCTGGAGGTGGAAAACACCTCAGCTATTGTGCCGCAATACAAAAGGCAAGAAAAACAAAAGAACAACAAACAAACAAACAGTGGCACGCCCGCTGAGTCCCCAGTAACGGATGGACATCGTTCCGGAGAGCTAACAGCTGGCTGCCGTAAAAGAGAATCGTATTATGCCTAACGATTGAGATCGTGATTGGAGGGGGATGCTAAACAGGAGGGGGATGGACAAAGGAACTCACAACACAAACGCCATTGGGGCCGGCTCCTAGCCATATCAGCAAGTGTGTCCAACCAAACGTGTTCACCGTCCTTAGGACCCCAACCAGGCAGTCGGGATGCACCAACCGACGCCAACTTCGAAGTGAGGGTTTTCATTTCTCTCGACCAAGTCATCACTTGGCCTCCCCTCCTCCTCTTCCAACCGCACCCACAACGCGCAAACAATGCACGTCGTGGGAGTCGGTGTGCTGGCATGCGCAACACCTGGCCCAGCCATCGGAGCCTGGTGCGTGATATAATCGTGCTGAGCGGTTCACTCGCTCTTCCTGCACCAAATACGCGACGCCGAACACGCTCATTGCTCACGCGGTGTTCCCACCAGACATGAGCTAAGCTGCGAAGGCAGCGATGATCGAACGTGACGAGTCTCTTCATGTCTGTCGACCTGATGGGCCAGGTTTCACAGCCATATAGGAGAGTTGAACGGACGGCTGCGTTGTAAAGTCTGCCCTTGAGGGCGAGAGTAATGTCGCGTCTGCGCCACAGGTGGCGGAGATTGGCAAAAGCACCTCGAGCTTTTGCTATACGGTTCGTAACCTCATCTTCAATCCCACGGGTGCTAATATAGCTTCCCAGGTACTTAAATTCCTGAACGACTTCTAGCAGATCACCACCAAGCGTTAGCGCAGGGTTGGGTCCCTGCCAATCTTGGAGAAGTACTTTGTATTTCGATGGAGCAAAGCATAGCCCAAAACGATTGACAGCCAGTGCTAATCGGTTCAGTGCTGTTTGGCATGTGTGGGAGCTGTCACAGATTAGGGCAATATCGTCTGCATACTCCAAGTCAAGAAGTCGCTCACCAGGGAGTAGCTCCACACCTAGGTCGTGTCCAGCGAACGCTGTTTCCATGACTTCATCAATAGCGAAGTTGAAGAGGAAAGGTGACAGCGGGCATCCTTGTCTCACACCGCTGGTGATACTGAAGGGTAGCGAGAGTTTGCCATAAACCCTCACCCTGCCCGAACTATGTGCCTACAGCGCTTTGATAATGTTTACATATTTATCAGGCACACCTTTCCTCAACAGACAGTTCCAAAGCGCACATCGATCGACTGAGTCGAAGGCACCTTTTATGTCAAGAAACACGACAACGGTGGGTCGCCAATAAACATGGCGGTGCTCCAACACTTGACGCAATGTGAAGATGTGGTCGATGCAGCCCCGACCTCGACGAAATCGGGCTTGCTCTTCACGAATCTGGCTTTCACGAGTGCCAGTCATTCTGTGGAGAATGAGAGAGGCAAGCAATTTAGAGGCAATCGAAATCAGACTGATCCCTCTATGATTGCCACATTCTAAACGGGAGCCTCCCTTGAAAATTGGGACAATGACGGAGCGGTTCCAGTCTGTCGGGACTGTCTCCTGCTCCCAAAGTTTTACTAGCAACTCGTGTAGATCATCTACTAGAGCAGGTCCACCGAACTTGAAGAGGGCTGGAGGAATTGTATCTGCTCCTGCGACCTTATGCAATTTCAACAGCCTGATCTCACGTTCGACTTCTGCGCGTGAGGGCGGATCCGTTAGTGGGTGGAAGCAGTCGCGGAGCTCCGACACAACATCCCCGTTGCGAGTAAGCTTACGTCACAACTATGCGTCTACCGACTTACCCGCGCTCAGCTTTCCCCTTGGTCCGCTTATTTGCCTGTTCCGGTTGCTTCCGAGTGCCTTAGGGCAGTATACAACATGACATCACTGGCCCCCTTCTATTGGTCGGCCACCTGAACAGTAGTACGCGAGATCTCCACATCAAGTAGCATTTCATTCAAGCTTGACCTCTGGGTTTTTTCCACTGACTTCAACCTGGTACTCGCTTTATCCCTTGCTTGTGTGTGCTTCAAATGGTAAAAATGAGTAACTCGATTGCTTGGGCTATTGCAGTCCTCTATCGGCAACCTCATAATCGAAGATATGCCAATGATATGTCTTTTATAATTCAAGCGTAGACTAATCCAACCAATATCGCCAACGGTCCATAGCCTAAAGGTAGCGAACTTCTCTTGCAATCTGACGGCGCGAGTTCGAGCCTGCTTAGGGGCAGGGCGACCCTCGCGCTATCCTTAGCCCGCGCGTAACCGGTGGTGCTTGCGTGGCAGCGAAGCGTTGGTACTGCGTACCGGCGTACTGCTGATGCCTTTCTTTCTTCTTGTGGTTATTAATGGCTGACACCAATTTGTTTCAAAGATGCTCGTTTATTTTTCACTCTATCCGGAGATCGTCCAAGTAATCGTCTTTTTGTTCTAATATCACTTGCTTATCTTGTTCTCCACTACTTCGGATCCGATTTTTTGTTTTTCAGTTAGCACCAAAGAATTCGATTTGGCGAAACAGTTGAGTTTTCCCATTCGTGATCATCTAATCGCTTCCGAAGTCACCAGCAACCGAGGTGAGTTCTGTGGTTCACTGGTTCACACCCTTAGTAATGCTCCCGAACCAGCGTAGTTCATCATTTCCCCTTTCATGTAATCCCCTTGAAGATTCATCACTTCACCTACTCAGTCTTCCGCCTTGGAGCCTGCGTGCTGACAGGGAAGTCTGGTGGACCAGTAGGGTATAATAAGATGGAGGTAGAGACAGTAGGCGATTGTCGCAAACTCTTCTAACTGATTCGCACCACTTTTCATAAGAACTCGTGCGTTAGCGGGACAATCAGAGACAATAAGTGCGCCCTACTTCACATTAAGGAGCGCCGTCGGGTTATTTAGTCGGTACACTTTGGAGTGCAGTTCAGTTGGCCTGCCAATCCCCGACCTCTTCTTGTTCGTGTGCTACTTGCCAAACCATGGCACATCGTCCTAGGGGCTCCATTAGTAGCTGAGGTTCGAAACACGATTACATCTCTAAGTCGTTTGTGCGCTGTTGGTCTGGACTCTCGCACCCTGTCCTCTGAAACACGTTGACTTACCTATTCGAAAGAGTCTGGATGGAAGAGACCCTACCAACCAACTGCAGTGGATCAATCATATTGGCAATATACCGTAAGCGCATTCGCACCGAGTGCACTAACCACAGGGGTACCAGTTTAACGCCGGTGATATCTGGACTACTGGCTTCATGGTCTCTTTGCGGAACAGGAATCACGGATTAGAGAAGAGCAGGTAGGTTTCCACTCAGCGCGAAGTTGTATGTACCATATATTCCCTGCGACCGGTGTTAGAACAGCCCCACACGAACCGCGGATCGACCTCAAGTGTGCGTTCGACTCGCTCCATCGAGCAATTACGTTTGAGAAAAAAATGTTCCTAAAAAATATGTACATATTTTACGTGCCGTTTTCTCGAACACCGCAGGCCGCCTCAGGGTCTACAGTGACATGTATCAGATATCTTCCCGACAACAAGTGACGTTCATCAGGTTTGTCCAATTTCCCCATTTTTGTTCAACTGCGTCGTGGAGTCTATCATGGAGTGTTTCTTTGAGACGTATCACAGGCTTCGAGGTGCTGCCTGGTGAATAGTTAGTTGCTCTTGATTATGTGGATGATATCGTCTTGCTGTTTAACGGTATTGGGGTGACCCAGTCAACTCACTCTCTCTATCTCTCGTTTAGTCCTATCACTTGGCATGCGCTCCGCTTCTTCAAAGTGCAAAGTGTTGTAACGTGACTACAAACCACTTGATGATCCATTTCTCCTTGATTGCGAGGAACTCGTAGTAGTTGACCAATGCAGTTACTTTGGCAGCCGCATCGATAACAATGGGCGCCTGGCTGGTGAAGTGACTTCACGCATTACGAAATCTGGAAGCGTTTTTTTTAACCTGTGACATCTGGCATCGGAAGCAGGCTTCTTTCCTTCTGAAAACCTTGTGTGTAAGGCCATAGTGAGGACAGTCTTTCTCTAAGGGAGTGAGACTTTGCCCTATAGACCTGAAGATCTAATGCGGCTTCACTTCTTAGATCATTGTTGCCTGCGATGCGTTGCTTGTGTCGGATGGCACCAGTATGTCCGTATCGGTGTGCGTAAGCAACTACTAAGTGGTAATAATCAAGCCAGTTACTTAGAACAACAAAACGTTGAATAGTTTACTTTGGCTCAGTCACCGAGGAGGACGTTGTTTTATTTTCCAGATTTGGGGTAGCACAAGGTTCGTGGTGGGCAAAAGTTAACTTCGCAGTGTGAAACGAAGTTGCTGACCACCAAACTAGATGCTGTTGGTCTGTCTCGTATTCCAGGCTGGAGTTCACGTGGCCTACCTTGTGCTTGGCTTAAGACGTTGCAAGACATGGCTCGCAGTCTGTACTAGTCGCGCGTCTGCTAGTCGGACTGCCTGTTTAAAGAGTTTTTGATGCTGAGTTATCTGCGGAGTAATGCTTGAGTATGACGCGGACAGTTGGCATCGGAAAGAAGCTGTTTTGCTGATGCTGCCTTATGTTTGCATGATAGCTGGCTGTTTGTGATGGCATGTTGTTGACGAAGTATAGAGATGCCTTGGACCTGAGGGTTTTTTTAAACATTTAGGTTTTATGCTAGGTCACTCTTTCCCTTATACTATTCTTCATTCCTTAGGTTATTGTGCTTGTAAAGCAACGACGCGTCAGTTCAGATAACTGGGTCACGGCGCGCTCTATTCGCTCTTGCACGTCCGCATTGAAAGAAACCGCGCTGTAATCGGTCTACTACATAGCAGCAAAATGTCAGTGCACTGACGTTCAGTTTATCATCTGTCCTGTATGTCTTCTTGGATGGAGACTCGGATAGAGAATATCACCGACTGGAAACCCTTGAGAACGTGACACGGAATCTGGCTCAATGGAAAATATACATAAATTCATATCTTGAGTTGACAGATCACTATCTCAATCATTAACCTGACATAAAAGACTGAGCGGCGTGCGACTTTTGTATTTGTTGCGGAGATCGCATAACTTCACGAAACTTGCTCAGGGCTCGCTTGAGCTCACCTTAGGAGCACTGTCACTGTGTGGTTACTCAAAATGTACAGGTCACAGTTAGACTCTCCTTATTAAAACCGCTGTTATATGTCAGCGCAAACTGCACAGACCCCACCTAGCCTCACCCCAGCGACGCTGCTGTATTTACCATCTCAAGCTGCATTGCTTTTAATCGAGCCATCCTCAGGACACTACCACTATGTGGCAACTCATGTGCTTCGCCAACATTTACCTTCATCTATAGTTTACGCATGACGCTTCTATGCTAGTGACTTATGTAAATTCAAAAGTCTAGAACGTATGCTTATCTGGCTGATACAGTTAACGAACTTGCTACCGGCCAACATTTCTTTTTTGAGTTTCGGTGCAGTCATGCGAGGTTACGCGTTTCGTCTCCAGTCTCAGCTAGCATGTACCCATGCTTGGCCGCTAGCTCTTACACTGTACTGATCCTAATTCCGTTGGCTACACTGTGCATGGGGTATTATCGATGCAAAACTCTTCGTCCGTTCCGACTGGAAGAGTCGAAACAACTGCAATGTTTATAACAGTAGTTATTACGTGCCTTGGTGTGAATTTTCCAAAGGCACATCAGCCGGTCCGCTGTGTCGCTATTATTCGTCCCCTTATGCAGTTGAAACCGCATTCCTTAATGTCGATGAGGTCAAACGCGAACTGGCGCTGCTAAAGTGGAGCAATGTGCCCCGTCGAAACTTCTGTTCTCTGTGGTTGCAAACGGACAGCCTGGACTTCGGCGGGTCGATTCACCGCACTTAAGGGCTCAGCTCCCGTTAAACTTCTGCATTCAAGCGAACTCATGTTCAGTGTAAAGTCCGCAAGAACTTTAATTTTTTTACCAGATCGATTATTCCCTCTTGATGTCTCAGTGGTCCTATTCCCATCTCTTTCCACCTTCCGAACTAATAACGTTTTTCGTGTTCTAGACCATTACATGCTCAAACGGGTATCGCTTTACATTTACCACAACTGCATGCACTTTTCTCAAGGTTATGCTTCCACCAGTTTGCTTTTAACATCACTATTATCTGTTTCCGCTGCCGTTGCAAACCTAGTCGTGAATCCTATATTGTATATTATTCTGTCCTTTAGAGCCACTATTACAGGATTATAAAACAAATTCTTCTGTCTCGACCGTTTTCTGTCTAGACCGTATGTATAGTCTAGGTTTATAGCTCGAAACAGCAATATTTATACGTGCGACATAATTCGATTTAGGTTGTTCCGTCGTTACATTCATCAAAGTGTTTTCAACGTTTGCTGGACATTTGTCTGTACCGTCCGAGTTCCACTATTAAAATTTCTAATGTGCACTCCACCTCATTCTTGTCTAGATTTCGTTCCACATCCAAGTGTCGTCTATCGACATTTACTATTGCTCACTAATCGAATCAAAGACGAATTGATTGAACCTATTTTAGTGGACGTGCACTCTCGTGAGTCCTTCCTTTGTATTTTCGTTCAAATTCAACGCGATGATCTGTGAATCAGCTCATGGGAGCCCTATATGATTCGATTTCATGTGTATTTTTGTCTTGAAAAACTACCAACTATCCTTACCATCAATGCAGCATCTATCACTAGTGCATATCCCGCTGTTCATCGCCTAGTTCGCCCACTTTCACTATCCTTTCAAATGTGCCATACACACTCGTGGTATTCAGTTTTGCTTTTCATTCCCATCGGAAAACAATTACGCCTACTTGGACCTCTTACTTTCTATCTCAGACTTCACCGGCAAAATTACCTAAGGGCTCAGCTGGATGGTGCTCTGCTCACCGCAGTGAACCTGTCAGTCTTGGATTACACCTAAACTCATTCGTTGTCTAGTTAGACAATGCAGAGTCCGCTCTTGGGTATCGCTATCCTACGTCTACGACCCGATTTTTCATTGCTTTCCAGATACGTCCTTCAGTTAATATCAGTCATATCCGCGTAGGGGTGGGCGTCCTCGCAGTACATTCAACCCGCGCGCAACTGGTGGTGGTTGCGCGGCAGCGAAGCGCCGTTACGGCGTACAGCTGACACATTATTATTATTATTATTATTATTATTATTATTATTATTATTATTATTATTAATATCAGTCATCATCATTTCTAGTACATTCGCGCTCACTGCAACCTCCCATCTGTCTGACGAAAGGCATATCACATGTTCTCGAAAAGTATATTGTTTCCTAGGTATTCAACCAGTTATTGCCCGACGCTGGCACCTCCATTCTTTCTTTTCCACGTGTTTATCTTGTTCCCATCCCGACCCCCATTACTAACCTTCGTTCTGTAATTGACAGCAACCGAAGGGCCACTTTAGTAGAACCATCTGTAGCCACCATCCCACAGCACCTATCGGACGCCTATCGGCCAATGTCCCTTATAAGGCCACGCTATCCCTTTTCCATGGCGACATTCAACGTTCGCACTCTAAGACAAACAGGTCAACAGGCTGCGCTCGCACGCACCTTGGATACACTGGGTATTGATGTGTGTTGTGGGTTCGAAACTAGGACCAATGACCCTAACGGGGTTATTGAATTGACTGCGCCCGGCTTATCCTCTCTTTATTGGTTGCACGCATCCGGAGACGCCGATGCAGCACTCACTGGTCAAGCTGGTGTAGGTATCATTCTAAGCTCCAAGGCTGAGCATCGCTGGTTGATTGGATTCCGGCGTACAGCCGTTTGTGTGCAGCCCGTTTGACGACATCAGCTAAGGTTGATTCACGAAGTAGTACAAAACGCTGTTTATTTGTGATTTCCGCTTATGCTCCTACCGACTGCAGTACAAATGCTGTCAAGGACACATTCTATCACGAACTGAACGCGCTACTACGCAGTGCTACTAGTTCAGATGTTATAGTACTTGCTGGGGATATGAACGCACAAGTAGGGCGTCTGAGCTCTTCAGAAGCTCAGCTGGGTGGTAAGTATGGACTTTACTCCGAACTGACTGACAACGGTGAGCGTCTGCTGCAACTGTGTGCGGAGCACCAGTTGTTTCATAGTAGCACTGCTTTTAGATACACTGGGCGCCGAAGTGCCACTTGGCGTCCACCTGTAGCTGGCCAACGATGGACCCAAATTGACCACATAGCCATAAGTTACAGATGGCGTGCTTCCTTCCTGAATTGTGCTCGTACTGGAGTACCTGCGTTGACTCTGATTGCGCCTTGGTACGCTGTCGTTGCTTCATGACCTTTACCGGGAGGCGTACCAAGCGTCTCCTCCCATTGGCAACTGAGAAATTGTCTCAGCCCTTGGTCAGACAAGCCTATCAAGACGCACTACATACCGAACTTTCGCTGTCTTGTTCTAATGACACTGAGTTTCAGTGGAATAGGATCTCGGCCGCCATGCACGACGCAGGAGCATCTGCTTGTGGCACTATCCATCGTCACCGCACCAGTCACTAGATATCCGACAGGTCGGTGAGTCTGTTAGAATCTAGAAGGCACCTCCCGGCTGGCTCTGAGTACAATGTAACCAGACGGGCTATTAGGCGCGAACTTAAGCGGAGCCTACGTGCTGACAAGGAAGCCTGGTGGACAAGTAGGGCTCATGAAATGGAGGAGGCAGGAGCAGTAGGCAATTGCCGCAAGCTCTTCCATTTGGTCCGCCCCACTGGTTCCAGGAAACCAGGCATCAGTGAGACAATCATAGACAGCGCGGGGGCACTGATACACAATAAAGAGCGCCGGTTGGCTAGTTGGCCGGAACGCTTTCAAGATCAGTTCAGCTGACCCCATTCTCCCGGATCTCTTCCTACTCAGGTGTTGCAGGAGGAGCCATGGACGGTTAGTTTAGAGTCTCCGTCGGAGGCCGAGGTCCGAAACGCGATCACAGCCCTCAATCGTTTTCGTGCCCCTGGCCCGAGTTCGCTGCCACCTGCACTATTTAAGGATAGAGCTGAGGTCCTCTGCAAAGCACTGACCTCCCTATTCGAACGTTTCTGGAAAGAAGAGTGTCTCGGCTGATTGGAGCGAATCGATTATAGTGGCAATATACATGAAGCGCAGTCGCACAGACTGTTCTAACCACAGGGGTATTAGCTCAACGCCAGTTGTAACAAAATTACTGGTCTCATTCTCGTTCGTCACCTCATTGTGGAACGGGAATCTCGGATTAAGGAAGAGCAAGCCGGTTTCCGCCCAGGACGTGGCTGTATAGACCATATGTTCACTCTTCAGCAGGTGCTGGAGCAGCGCCACGCATACCACAGACCGACAATAGCTGTGTTCCTCGATTTCAAGAGTGCGTTCAATTCAGTCGGTCGATCGATTCTGTTCGAAATACTTGCGCGGAAAGGTGTTCCCACGAAATATGTGAACATCATACTTGCTTTAAACTCGAACACTACAGGTCGCGTCAGGGTCTGTGGTGGCCTATCGGATAGCTTTCCGACCACGAGTGGCGTTCGTCAGGGTTGTCCGATTTCCCCATTTTTGTTCAATTTCGTCGTGGATTCTATCATGGAGTGTTCCCTGATGGAATCCAACGATGTAGGCGTTGAAGTGCTGCCTGGTGAAAGGTTAGTTGATCTAGATTATGCGGACGATATCGTCTTGCTTTTCGACGATGTTGCGGTGGAACAATCAACCCTGAATAGCCTGTCTAGAGTGGTCCCATTATTTGATATGCACTTCGCACCTTCAAAGTGCGAAGTGTTGCTACAGTACCACCAGTCAATGACCCGTCGATCCTTGCTAACGAGGAACTTGAGCTGGTTGATCAAGTCACTTACCTTGGCAGCTGCATCAGCAACGATGGGCGCATAGAAATTAAAGTCAGTTCACTCATTGCAAAAACCAGAACCGCCTTGAACCTGCGGCATTTTTGGAGACAGAATGAAGTTTTCCTCGGTCTGATTGGCTGTGTTTACAAGCCCACAATGAGGGCCGTTCTGCTCCATGGTAGTGAGACTTCACCTCTTCGGTCTGAAGATCTGAGGCGTCTTCAAGTGTTTGCTCATCGTTGTCTACGGGTGTCGGGTGGCACCAGCGTGTCCGCAACAATGGTGCATAAGCGAGTACTAGGTAATGATAACCGTTAGTTCCTTAGAACAACAGATAGCGCCCGACTGAGTTGCGTTGGCTTGGGCATGCACTACATATGCCTGATCATCGCTTACTTAAAAGGGCCTTGTTTAGTTTGCCAGATGTAGGGTGGCGCAAGGCTCGAGATCGACAAAAATTGACTTGGCAGCAGGAAATGTAGTCACTGATGACCAAATTCGGTGCCGTTGGTCCGTCTCGTCTTCCGGGCTGTAGTCCACGTGACTCGCGCTGTGCTTGGCTCGAAACTTTACAGGACATGGCTCACAACGGACACCAGCGGTGCGTCAGCTGCTGTCCCCTAGTCGGATTGCCTGTTTAAAGTGTGTTTGGTGCTGAGTTATCTGCGGGGTAATGGCAGTGAAAGCCGCAACTAGGCTGTCTCTCTGATGCCGCCTTATCTTTTGCACGAAAGCCAGCTGTTTGTGACGGTATGTTGTTAACACAATGTGTAGGCGCCTTGACCCTGAATGTTTGCTTAGGGCATTAAGGTTTTCCGCTAAGTCCCCCTTCTCTCCCTCTTATTATTTTTTATTTAATAGGTCATGGTTGTATGGCAGCGAAGCATCAGTTCAAATGGCTGATGTACTGCTGTTGTTGATTGTTTATTGCCCGACATCCAAGTGTAGGAGGATCTCTCTGTCTCACACTGACCGTGATGCCCGTGCGACAAATGTCTGTGGAATTGCGCCCACTATCGCTACTATCACATACTGGCATTTTTTGCACTAACATCTCTTAAGCTTTAAACGTTCATCATGACGTCATCTTTCCCCTCCTCTTACGAACGGGTTATATTGATTGCTCCCACGAGGCACCCCCATCTATTCGACTGGTGTAGAACCCCGCTTGATGACAGTGGAAGAACGAACACCGTTCGTTTTCTTGTTTTCTAGCAAATGGCCTCACTCACCTATGAACTGTAGAGCAAGGCAAGGCATCTGGCACGTCGCCTTCGATAGGTTCTTAGCGCGTTTCGTACCTTCTCAACAAAACGGCTTAAACACCGTGCGATGGTCCATTTACATCCTTGAACTATTGCACCATTCTGTGCTGCATATTCTAGTTCGCTTCAGAACCGCTCGCACATGATCTAACGATCGAAGTTCTCTATTTTCATTTAAGATTACTGCCTAACTGACTGCCCTTTCTAATCGAAACTCAACCATAGTATACTGCATTCCGCCAATTTTATGCTCAGCTACATTGGTGCTGTGCACCGACACAGGATTTTCTCCTTCAGTGAGAACGTACTCGTATGTCAATACTCGTTTGGCTGTTCACGTTAAACCAAACGGGCCTCAAGCAATAAAGCGCAGCTCTCTTGACAAGCCCTGTGCAGTTAACTATGTTGTTCAACACGTACTGCTATTTAAAGCGCATGTAACTTTTTCCAAACCTCTTGGGATTGCCGGTCAAATGCAGAACGCCACGGAACTTGGCACTCACATTCCCAAACTCCAACCTGTTCCCAAACCTCATGGTGGACCAGAGCTTTAAGTTAAATTTTGAGTAGTAAATTCCCCCTATAATCTAAAGTAAGCATATCCGAAGACGCAGTTTGTCAGTTGACGCCGTCACTTGTGCATTCTCATCACTCACACGCATCCAGTCAGTAATAAGCACGAGCGAAAGTTCAGTATCAATGTCAGTTGCTTTTGCACGCAGATCGGTGAGCGCACTCGATTGATGATGGCAGCCTCAAGGAGCGTGGAGATGTTTGGCTTTTGTTTGAACATAATTACCTTGAATGCTACATTTAGGTTGACTTGGTGAACGGAGTTCAATCGATGCTTCGTTTCAGTGGAACATGGCTCGGACTAGAGAGCGTTTGTGTTAGATCAACACAAACGTGCTACATCGCCGATCCGTAGCCTTAAGGATCACAAGCCTGCCTTGTAATCCTGAGGTCGTGGGTTTGAACCTGTGTATGGGACCTTTGCAGTATCCTTGGCCCAAGCGCGACTGGTGGTGGTTGCGCGGCAGCGGAGCGTCGGTACGCAGTACCGACGTACTACTGATGCCTGTGTTACATCGGTGGAAAGCTCTTGAAATGTAGCTACTAATTCGGCTATGTCGCTGTCTGATGGATTGATCTTTTGGTCCATCCATCAGATCGTCATGCGAGCAGTGTGTCTAGGTATGGGAAGTAATTGTGGCTCCCAGTTTCACTTATCTCAGTTGGATTCGGTTGTTTACTATTTAGTGCGCCGGTTGCATGCGCAGTATCCTCTCCCGAATACGTGACTATCAGTATATCAAGTTGACGTGTATATAAAGTTGCCGATATGATGAGGCCACTCATATTCGTAACTGCTCCTGTTAGCAACTGACCGTGCGGGCTACCCATTGCCACATCATCTGTCTGTGGAGACGTTTTGCCTTTAAGATAAAACTGGTGTTCTGTGAGCATGTTCCTCAACAGTTATTAGTCACAAAGTCTACCCCGAAATGACATTCTAGGTCCTCATGCCCAATCAAAAACTCAACATCCCCACGCTCTTTGAGTCCGCTGTCATCGATCTAGAGCAAAAGCGACTGACGGTGATTTTAAGCTTTCCGGGGTGCTATAAAGCGCACGGCTCGGACGCCACTTGAGCACCAATTGATTCGGCGCGACTTTGTCCCTATTGTGCCCATAACCGGTTACTTGCCTGTGAATGGTAAAAAATGCACGGAATGCCTGTGTCAAGTGACAACCTGTTTCTTTTGGCCTTATTTCTAAGTCAAAACCGGTGGTTGAAACCCTGCACGAAAACCTGCCTCGGAATGAGCAATAATTTACACATTATTCGTCCACAAATTCCATCACTAATGCTTTTTCATCTTATTCCCTCTTTCCTCTGCCTTTGCAGCTTATGCTGTCGTGGTGCCTAAATTATATCTTAAACCTACAGTCCCTGTCATCTCGTTCATCACGCACTGGTGATCTTACTCACAACTGCCCTTGAAGTTGATTGTTGGTCTCCAAAACACTCACGTATGATATCAACGCCATTACGCATCATGTGCTATCTGATTGCAGGGACAATGGCCGCTCTTTCTGTCTCTAGCTATACCGAGTCGATAATTCGGGCTATTTGCGCTTTCGAAGTTGCATTCAAAGCGGATTCTAAGGTTGCTTTATTCGAACAAATCCTGTTGAGCAGTTTTATGAAGTTAATTCACTTTTAGTCAGCAGCAACGAAAGACGCGGCCCCCTTATTCTTCCGAAGCACTCTCCGCTGCCTGTGATTCATCAAGCAATGGAGACGCATTGGATCAATAGCTTTCCTCTGTATTCTTTTCGTGTCCAGTGTCCTGAGTGTTAATCTGGCCGCCTATCAGCGCCCGAGTATCGTCTTGAAGGTTATTTCTGATCAGGATTTGTGGTACTGATGGTAATGAGCGCCTTTATCCAATTGCGTTGTCTTCGTCCTTTATGTCAGTAGCACAGTTCTCAATGTCAATCATCCGCACCGTATAGCTTGTTCCCCAACCGATTGAAACGTTACTCTGCACCCGAAACTGTCGTTAACTACAGTCGATCCATGTCATTAATGGATTTCTCGTCAATCTAGAGGAGTTTTGTGGATTTCCTTGGTGCGAGCCGTCCAACTTTGAAATTCCTTTTCACCAACTTAACTCACAGTCCTTGAATTAGTTCAGCCAACCCGAGTTTGGATTCTGGCTGATAGCTTTGAATACGGTTTCTAAGACTTGGTGACTGACTCGGCTCCAATATTCATTGTTCTACAAGGTACGTGCCCATCCAGGTAATAGATGGGTTTCGGAGGTTTTGGTCAGCTTAACTGAAGTGCGGAAGACGTTCCTCCCGCTGTTCACGCAGTTCGACGCGTTAGTATACTCAGCCCGATCTTGCAAGTATATCGAAGCAGTCATGTGTATACTCTCTCATAGGGCGTATGAGTGATCCTTAATATTCTGTCTGTTAAGCTTAGTAAAAAGTAACACCCGACTGACGGTGTGTCTGATTCCCAGTTGGCCACAAGCGCCCGGGTATTGACGTGTGTTGCTTAGACATTGTGGTAATTTGTCATATGGTGCTTACCCACATGTCTCTTTTTCCGCTTTTAGTCTGTGGGTTGCCTGAGCGACTTATGCTCTCCACGCTGCCACCGGAAGTCCTGGTCAGTTTCTGTCGCATCTATCCTCTATACTATCGCTTTGTTGATGTAATCACATCGTACATTTTGTCCATATATTAGTTTTTCCTTTCTTTTGCTGGTGATGATATTCCGTTTCCTTATCAGCACCATACTTCATTTACTGCCGGCCCGTAGCCTAGTGGTAATTTGCTTGTCTCGTAATCTTGTGGCGCGGGTTCGAGCTTGCGTAGGAGCAGGTCGACCCTCGCAGTATTCTTAGCCCACGTGCAACCGGTGGTGGTTGCGCGGCAGCGAAGCGTCGGTACTGCGTACTTCTTATGCATTTTTCTTTTTACTGGAACTTGCAATCCCGCTGCGTTTCCTTTTTGATCTTGTGAGTATGATCTCACCGCCATCTGCTTTCACCCCGTAGCACATAATTATCAACCACTGTGCGGCGTAAGAATCACTATCGCCAGTCAGATCTTCACACACCAAGTATTGACTGTCCATGTATATGCGCTTGGAGGTCTGTCTATCGCCCACCCACTCATTAGTTGCTTGTTCTCAACGATTTAACAGGTTGATGATCAGTGATACTGATGTGAGGATTTCTAGTTCTGAAGAGTTCAGTCGCAGAATGTTCGCTTCCACCGAGTCCAAACTGCAAGGGCTGACTTAGAAGCCGTTTCTTTCCAAAACTGATCAGGTGGAATAAGGTGGCTCATAACTGTTATAGACCATCGCTAATGTTAGAGTCTCCTCGTACGGGTCTGCCGCAATCTCTCTGGCCGCAGTAATGCCACGTAGCCGAAACCTCGCAAGAGTAACAGAGCTCACCGAGCTGATAGCTAGCACCGTGTATTCTGGTAAAAACCATGTACAATATTTGAGAACAACTCGCAACTGAATGGGTGAGCGATAGATAGACCTACACGCGCATATACGTGTGAAGATCTGACTAGCGATGACGATTCTTACAGCACGCATTGTAGCAGTTGCTCTTCCTCAGTGTCATCGCTTCGTCACATTTATCACTTTGTGCCTATACATAATTGGACCACTAATTTCTCCGGTGCTAGCCAACGATCAGTTTAGTCATAATAATAACCCCCTCCCTCCCCCTTATACTGATTGCTCTTCCATAGAGCAGGGCTGCCCCCTATGCCGGCTCTACTTCCACCACGATAGTGTCGAGGAGTACAGCAAACGATAAGTTACTGGCGACATCGGTCGTCCGCAGCCGTTGTTAGGGTACGATCTCACTTTCGAACCTCACCTCACCGATTCTCGTTGTTGACGAGAGCCAACTGAACGAATCGACTGTCTAGTTTTTTCCTGATTCCAATGGCTATCCGACTGGGTCCATTTGTGGCGGATTCCACTTATTAAACCAACTAGCTTCCTAGTTACTCACCATCTCACCGCGTTCATTTAACCTTGTATTAGCAAATAACATTGCAAACCCGGGACATTTGCTTGCGTACAAGTGACTTTTGGTCATGTCGAGTATCATGACATTTTCCACCTAAAGTTAGATTTTACCTGTCCCCGACACACCGCTGTTTTTCTCCTGCCTTTATCTGTAGTCACTGGCAGGATGGGACCTGTCTGTGGTTTCGTCGCAAATGTTTGAACACCTCGAACTTTCGGTGTACCTGACTGTGCACGCAACATTGGCTACAGCAGTGTTTGTGATTCATTGATCGTTATGATCACGCAGTACTGAACTATGCCAGTCCACCACCACCACTTAATCGGAATAGCCTCGAACGGCAATTTCATTACCTCGGCTTTTGGGACCGCATCCTCATTTTTTTGTTACACGCTTCATCCTTGAGCCATCCTTGAATGTTAGCAACAAACACCTCGAAATCCGATTAGGTCTGGTTGCACTGAACTCTACTCAACTGTTTGTGTTAAGCAATAGCGAGCCCAACATGGCTCACCACGCTATAGGACGATCGGGGACTTTATCTCTATCCCTGTCACTCTAGTTGTGTATGGTATTTTAACGACCTTTGCGGGATGCATTGGAGGAGGTAATCGCCCCACGTGCAGTACCCGATTTCCAGGTCGACAATATGTCCGTCAGGTGTTCTTCCTTATAATTGATATATTGGCTTATTTATTCCTCGTTTTCTTCGAACATCGTATATTTCCACCACTCATGCATTTCCACTGTGTTTGTGACCCATCGAGACGCGCGTGCAATTTGCCGCTCGGAACCTGGGCCAAACCGGGCTTCGAAGCTTGCAGTACGGAACAAACCAAGCTGTTTCCAGTTTATCAGCGAAGATGCGATGTACTTGTACAGGATATATATTCTGTGTCAGAGTTGGACAGGGAGCTTACTTTCTCTGCGCCTCGCTTCCCCTCTCCATTGGCTACTCGCACAACCGAGCCGCAGGGATTTCTTGGTTAATTGTCACATGCCGTATGGCGTGTCACCTGAGTGATGTACACTCGGCCCCTTGCTCAAGAGATCTTGTCCCATACAGAGCATTCTGTCCTGCCTGACTTCAGTCTGGGAGTTATGCCTTGCATATTTCCATCGCTCTACGTATAACTAGCTTACCTTTCTGTCCACCGGATCACTATCTTCCGCCAAATACCGTTCTTCCGCTGCCTGTCTAGTTTTGGTTGCTGGGACACTCTAGTGACTCGCAGGAACTGACAGTGTTTTAATGTCTCAGCCGTCTCATTTTCCAGCTAAGGTTGTCTCGTGATGAACGACTGAAAAACTTCATTTATCTCTGCATTCGTTGGGCCCATCATGCAAACGACCGGACCGAAAGCATTGTTCTCACCTGCGTACTACATCCACAGTCTCGCACGGCCCTCGAAGTAACTGTTCCACCGCTGTTCTTGTGTTGTCAGCTAATACACTTTCGCAACGTCACTGTATTGTCCACCAGTCAATAGCCTTCTTTGTATCACTGGTATGTCGACGCGGACTCTGTAGACAGCTTATCCGTCCGATTACGTTTTCAAATTTCTGTCTTTAGTCCTGATCATGTTCGTCCACAGTTGCACCGTTCTCATCCTCATCGGTCAACGGCTCTCAGTAATACGATTCCATTTTACTCCCATAGATTGTCTGAACTCGAACGACCCCCTTCGATTTTCATCTTTAGCATCGTATTCTGCTTTGGGTACCACTTCACTCGCTGGGCAAGTTGATGTCTTGCAATTCCGAGCTGTATCGGCACATCAAGTCGTTTTCCGCAGTCTGGCGAATGCATTTGGCCCGCTTGAATGCGAAGAAGGAGCCTTTGTTGAACGCAGCGTTAACAAGGCAACTGCACCAATTGCGAAAACCATCCCCGCCAGCATTGTCATCGCCCGCTCAGCCACATCGCATTGACTCGGACGTAACCGGTGAGTAGGCGTCATCCAACTGTTGCAGACTTATCCCCGATTCCCTGATACATTCTTTCAAGATGGTAAATTTTTGACCTGTTTGTAGCAGTGTTTCAGCAAATTTATTCTTTATATTATTCTAAGAACACGGACACGTAAAGGATACGACTGTAATGTATACACACGACCAAGTCACTGGTTTGTCTTCTAACAGGCACATTCATTCGCAACCAAGTCCCGTGCTACGCCAAACAGACCGTGTCTCGTGATGACCAATCACAACAGTCCTCCACCGCTAGATTAAGAGTATCCAGCTTGGTAGCGTTCGACGCTCCTCTTCTCACGAAGTGATCGCCACGGCTGTATAGGTGTCTCAACCTCGTCTTCACTTGGTAATGCTTCTGATGATATTCTCAGAGGTGCAGGCGATGGGCAATTTGCTTGTTCCTCTTCTGGATTCACAGGCTGTTATCGCACTTGGTCCAAATGATGTAGTAGTATTCGCCCGTCCTCCAGCTCCGCTACCACTGCACTATCACTTGTTGGTCTCGTAATCTCTCGGGTCCAAGTTTTATCCTTTTGCCTCAGTTTAACATACACTCTGTCGCCTGCCTCGACCACACGATCCTTCGTTCTCATGTCGTAGGATCGCTTCATCGAAGACTAGCGTTTACCGACCGTTCGATACAGATCCGACCAAGTGCCCAGACGTCACCCCATCAGAAGTTCACATGGTGAATAATCCGTAGTAGTGTGTGGTGTAATGCCATACTGTAATTGGGATTTGTCCACGCGGATTTGTAAAGTTCTGGACCGTTGTTTGGCCACACCCAGTTTGATTGTCACAATCGCTTTCTCTGCTAGATCATTGGACGAAAGGTGCCAAGAGAACGTGCTCGATTCCGTTTTGACGTAAGAATTGTCTGAACTCTTCGCTGGTAAATGTCGGGTCATTATCGAAAACAGCCGTACATGGTGCACCACATGTGGCGAATATGTTCTTTAAGATATGCGCGGTGGTCGATCCAGTCATGGATGTGGTTGCCCGAGCTTCGATTCATTTGGAATGTGCGTCCACTGCCACCAGCACCATGAAGCCCTTCATAAGTCCACAGAAGTCATTATGTGTTCTGTCCCACGGGCGAGAGGGCCATTGCCTTGGAGACATTGGCACAGGTTTCTTGGCAGCTAGCACATAATTGTACGAGTTATTCTCTCTCCTGATCGACTCCAGACCACCATATATAGTTAGATGCTAGTGTCTTCATCTTTGGATTTACTTGGTGACCCATATGAAGTTCCCGCAGGATTGTTTGACGATGCTGTTTGGGGACGATTACTCGAGAGTCCCAAAGTATGCAACCGTCCTCAAGGGTTAACTCATCTCTTCGAGTGTGAAATGCTCTTAGACCTTCGTCTACCCTATCCGACCAACCAGTTAGGATATACTCATGCACCTTCGACAGTTCCGGGTCACTCCTTGTTTCCGATTTTATTTCCGTCCCTGTCACCGGCGAATCATCCAACTAAAGTATTACCTGCACCAGTTCTCTCAAAGCTGGAGTGTGGCTCGCAACGTCCCGTAATAGAAGGCGACCGAGAACATCGGTGCAATGATTCGCTTTCCCGGGAAGATATTTCAATTAATACTGATAGCCAACGAGTAGTAGGGTCCAGCGAAGCATACGGCTCGATGCCATTTGGGGTATCGCTCTTGATTCACCCAGAATTCCAAGTAATGGCCTGTGATCTGTTTGTATTCCAAATCCCTGCCCAAATAGGTATTCGTTAACTCGTACAACCTCAAATACGACCGCTAAATCCCGCTTTTAGCTTGACGAAAAGTTAATTTCTCCGTTTCAGAACACACCCACTGAACGCCCTTGCATAACAAACGATGTAACGGGTGTAACCCTGTGGCTGATTGCCGAACAAACCTTGGGTAGTGATTGTAAATCCCCAAGAACGACCTCAACTCGCGTTGATTTCTTGGCTGTTGTGCTTAAGGATAGGCTGGATTTTCTCCTCCATCGTCTTCAGCCCCTCATCTCTTAAACGGAAACCCAAGTGATCATCGTGGGGAGCCAAGAATACGCACTTTTCACGTTTCAGCCTCAAACCACTTTCCTTCAGGCGGTGCAGAACAACTTGCAGTTTGCTGATGTTCGTCAATTGTTGTCCCAATAATCAGCTTGTCGTCTAGATACGCGAAAGCTTTAGGCAACCCTGTTATGATGTTCGCTATCGTTCTCTGGAAAGTAGCCGGAGCAGAGTGGTTGCCAAATGCTAGTCTGTTGTATCTGAACAAACCGCGATGGGTACTGATCGTCGTTATCGTTTTGGCGTCTTCGTGTAGTCCGAGCTGTTGAGAAGCGTGCGCGAGGTGTAAGATTGAGAAATATCTGCTGCTACCGAGCTGAGCGTAAACGTCCTCAGTTTTTGGATATGGGATTGTTCAGCCGGACTACTGCAATTGACTGTAATTTTATAGTCCCCACATTTACGAATCGATCCATCAGGCTTGAGTACTGGAACAGTTGGTGTTGCCCAGTCAAAAAACTGTACTGGCTCTATGATGCCGCTCTTCTGTAAGCAGTAAAGTTCATTTTCTACCTTCGATCGCATCATATACGGCAGTGATCGAGTCTTGATGAACCGTGGGTTGCCAACTGGAATGTTGACATTACTCTGTCCATCAGTGAACTTTCCTTCCTCTGATCTCTCACATACTGGTACATATTGCTGGAACAACGTTTGTATCTCCGATGTTAAGGAAAGATGGTTTATCCGTAGAACTGGAAGCTGCCGGATCTAGTTTAAGGACCTGAATTACGAGGCAATCGAGCTATATCCGAGTAATCACCTTCCCGACTCAAGTTGGCCACGTAAATGTTGGCTTGCTTCTTCTGCATTTGTACAGTGGTGAAACAATTGCATCCTTTTGTTCAGATGAAACCGCTTTTCTGATTAGTAGGAAACCCACCTCTACCACAACCTTTTTATTTATAAAAGCATCTTTTTCCGTATTTCGACCTACCTGTTTCTTGTCCCGAGGTATCAACTCACAAACTACGAAGTAATTCCTAAAACTTGTCGATTTCACTTTCTACACACCTCGGCTGCCCCAAACGGTTGACCCACTGAAACACCGATTCAGAACCACTTTTCTTATGAACCGCTTGAACGCAAACTCTTCTTGACGATGCAATTGCAAATTTGATCGGATTAACCACATGGTCTGTCTCGCATTGCCAAGATAAACTTTTATTTTATTTTTATTTGCTTATTATTATTTTTTTTACATTCGTTCTGTATTATTACATATTTCCTCTTCTCTCACGGAGGCGACAGCCCGGGAACAAGCAGCAAATCTCATTGCTCGGCGATATCAATTTCTGTATTTTTCGATTGCATGCAACTGACGAGTGAACTTGAAAATTCTTTTCACAACTGTCTTGCATACCGATAATTCGATCAATCATCCATTTTCGCCACCTCCCTTGTACAGTTTGGTCAAAAAATGAGCCGGTTTTTCTTGCGCTGTAACAAAGAATGCTACCTCTTTATTAGTTATCATTATTGTTCTTGCCCTTCTACGTCCACATATCTTATATACTTTACTTCATGATTAGCCACGACTGGATCGATCTGAGGTGACTGATTAAAGCTTCCAACGCTAATCACTATACCCAGACAAGGCGTGTTGCCATTAGCTCCCTAGCGATAGGAAAGAGCTTGACTCAAAAACTGATTGACGGTACGGGCTAGATAGCCTGACTGTCCGCACCAAATACACAGAAAAACAGCCCTAAACATGAGTTACACTGGTGATGTCTAACTTGCTTCAACACTATAAAGACTGCTCCTCCGTCCTACCTAAAACGCCCCAGACCGGTCAAAATGACCACATTAGTGTATTCTTCTATTCTAACTTATTTTTGCGTTATATATATATATACATATATTAAGAATAAAGTGTAAGAATATTTGTAACCGAAAAAGTTACCTGTATTTAACTAAATTTTTCAAGGTGTGGAAAATAGCTGCACTTGTTTCGAATTCTTGGAAGGTACTTAGAATTTCTCGAGTTGTCAGGAGTTCAGAGAGGTTTGGAAACAATCGGTTGGCATAGGAGTTGGGTGACATTTCGCCCTTGACACAAGGACTTAGTCAGATCAGGTGAATCCGTGTGCAATTGGAGTGCGATTTTATAGCGAATAGGGGCAATAACCGCGTTACCCGAGACTTGAGCCAAGGTGTCATTATGATAGCAATTCGTGATGTCACCTCAGATAGTTCAATCACAGTGGGAATAGTCCAGGTGTTCTTTTGTGCGTCATGGCATTGACAGATAAGCCCATAGTGCTGACAACGGGAGTCGGTTTGCACTTTCCAATCTTATCCACGCACCGATGCTCGTCAGGCTGACTGACTTAAGACCGCCCGCCACGCACTAGAGAGTTCTACCCCCTCAATTCTATTCACGCGGTCGTCAGATTTGGCAATTTCCACCGCCTCGGCAATCAACCGCTGAGGTATTGATCGTGCGCCCCTCCTAATGACCTCTACGTTTTTGAGGTCTATCTGCTGACCCGTGTCTAATGCATGCACAGCTACGGCCGAGTCTCTTACTATTGCCTGGTATTCAACCTCGTTTCCTGGTGGTCTTGAAATGCGCCTCTTGTGCTTTGAAATTCGTGTGCGTAATTCTCTCGCTGTTTGGCCTATGTATACATGTGCACAGTCCTTACATTTAATTGTATAAACACAGTTGGTCGCCCTATCCTTGGGAAGGGGTCATTCAGGTGTACCAGCACCGAACGTAACATTCGACCTCGCTGCAAAATCACCCTTATATTTTCCTTGTTTAGTACCCTCCGAAGTGCCTTCCTTGTACGGAATTCCTACCGTGGGTCTTGACTGCCGGTTTAGCACTTTATGCACTTGGCGTTTGACTGGCCGCCGCGGGTAACCACTTTCTAATAGTCTGCTCATTGCCACTTTCCGCGTAGCCTTTTTGTTCTCCTTCATCGTGCACAACGTTTGTGCCTTGTAGAACAGCGCTGAGGCTATCCCAGTGTAAACCTGTTTAGGATGACCCTAAGTGCAGTGGAGTACGCCGTCAGTATCTGTTAGCTTGCGATATATTGTCGTCTTTAAATTTCCCCCTTTCCTGTGATCCAGGCAGTCAAGAAATGATATTGTACCCCTACAAGATTCCAACTCAATAGTAAACTGTATCCTCTTATCAATGAAGTTTAAGTGATCAAGCAACTCATCCTTCTTATCCCATTTAACGAGTACAATAGTGTCGTCTACCTAACGCCACCAGACTTTTGGTGAGTTAATGGTGTTTGTTAACGCCCTGTTTTCGAAGTCTTCCAGTTCGCCAGTACAGGGGATATTGGCGATCTCATAGCGAGACCTTGTTCCTGACTGTACAGCTTCGACTGAAAAACGAAGTAAGACATGTTAAGACACACTGTCACACCCTCGATTATCTGGTTAACTATTAGTTTCGTCCGATCACTCAGTGACATCTACATTTAGACGTCTTGCTATTCCTAGCGCCTCTTCTTTGGGTACTTTGGTGAAAAGTGATGTGACATCGAAGCTGACCATTAACTCATCGGACTCGATTTTGAGCGAAATCATAAACGTTTTTCACGAATGTACTCATTCGCTCTGTTAGAGCCTGCAATAGCCTTGCCAAATATCTAGCCAGTTCATGGGTCGGGGAGCCTATACTGTCGATTATGGGCCGTACGGGAACTTCAGGTTTGTGGACTTTTGGCAAGCCATAAACCCTCGGAGGTAAAGTCGATTTTGGGTATAGACTGTACCACTTGCCTGCTCCTAAATCGTCCTTCACGGTTGTTAAATAGTTACCAACCTCCGTTTTACTCTTGTTGATTACTGATGCCACGGTCTTACCAACAACTAGTCTATATGGACCCGTCTCCAAATGCTGTCCCATTTTTTTCCAAGTATTCTGACCTATTCATTACAACCAGGGTTTTTCCCTTATCAGCCTTTGTAAGTACAATGCTGCGATCTCCCTTCAAGGATTTTAATGCGATACCTTCAGTTTGCGGAAGATTTGGATCACCCGGTTGCTGAAACTTAATGATATTTACTAACTGTGCCCGAATATTCTCTGCCTTCGGAGCGGACAACTTTATCACCGCACTCTCAACGCTTGGGATAATCTCTTCCGGATATATCTTAGATTTATTAATGGTAAATGTCAAATTTTTCTCTAACAATCTACTTTCTGCTTCATTCAAAACCTGACATAGTAACTACATTACAATAGGTACCAATAGACCCGGACCTGTCACTAGGACCGGTAGCATGAGGGTGCACAGACATTAAACGCTCGAACTTACGCATTTGTCTTTTCTTTGAGTCCTGCCCTTTTTCAATTTGACGTCTGAAGCCTTATTGAAAGTTCGGTTGTAGTCGAGAGACGTTATGGCGGTTTGTAGATCCAGGCTCAGCCGACTCGCGTCGATGCGGATCTCATTTAAATGCTTGGTCAATAAGTCAATTCGTTGTCTCAGAAAGGCCTTGGAAGCATTAAGTGCAATCCTTGCTTGGGTGTACGTACTGTCCGGAGGTTTCACTGTTAGACATTTGGGATCAGGTTAGTCTTAAGACATCTCATGTTGCAAACGCGATGATTCTCCCAGTTCGCTTCAAGGCCCGCCAATCGTATGCATTCACTTAATGGTTTTCAAACACGGTCCGTATTTGGTTTCGAATTCTTGGAACCGATCGAGTAGTCATGAGTTCAGAGAAGTTTGCAAACCGATTGTTTTTTCTTCGTCATAACAACTGCACTGAACGACTCTCTACTTTGCTTCGAACTCCTTGGCACTTCTATTTACTCGAATAGTTCCAACTATACTTGTATTTTTCTCCCTGTCAAAATGACCGCTCCGGACGTTCTAGTGTTAAAAGCCACATCGGTACATGACCAGATAGGGCATGGAAATGCGGATACTACTCCGCACGGAAGCAGGTTCCCAGGTTATCGTTCCATGGATCCCCTTATTACCTCACTTGAATATTTGGATTTATCTACATTTATTATTTCTGACAACCTCTCAGTCTTCCCAAAAGACACCCGATCAATTAGCCCTGCCCAAAAATAGTGGTTTATGAACTGCTCTGGAAAACTCGAAAAATATGTTCCATGCGATTTCGCTGTACTTGATCATCATGCCATCCAGTTGGGCTGTGCCTTGCACTGTCGAGGAATATGCCGCTATTTTGTATTCGTCACAACTTCATATTGCCCATGTAAGAGCATGGTATTACTATTGCATACATTCTTTGTGCCAAATATAGACGCAGATTCACTTGCTCGGAAACATACCTATTATTATTATTATTTTATTACACGTGTTGCACCAAGTAGTGCAACACGTATCACCGCGAGTCCGCCATGTTTCAATACATCTGTATCGCAGCACAACTGTTGAAGTATTTCCCGCCCTCAGCTAATATGTATTGATGATGATGTTGAACACATCAGACGGTATTCTATCAGCAGCTGCACACTTGCAGTTTCGTAGCTAAGCAACTGCTCTCATTTTCGTACCGCAAGACCATCCTTTACGTTTTGTTGTTGCAGCCCATTCAGCGTGTCCTAATCTCTGAATGGTTGTTCAAGAAATGGTCGAACGTCTTCCTCCACATCTGCATTATATCATCAAACTGTGTGTGCGTAGACAACGCCCGAAGTAGTGTCCGCCTGCATTCTCAGCAGCTGCAAAGTGGGTCCACACACTGTTTTCACAGAACCGTATGGTTTCCTATGATGGTGGTGTCCGCTTTGACGTTGCATCTTGTTGTGTAGGACTGCTAGAACAGACTAAGCCTCAGTAAGGCAAAACAAACAAGGCGAGTACGCGGTAAGCTGAAGTATATGGGAGCCCAATACGTGAGTCAGACATATGTTAACTTGTGCTGAAAACATTACTCTAGTTATAGCTCGATTAATCATGGGTGTTGATTCAGATCAACACTAGTCTGTCGATCGATACCTTTCCGGTCTGTTTCGATCTTACCCTTTGGCATTAGCTGGTTTTGTCCTCGGCTTCAGCTTGTTCCGATTGTCCTGTACAATCGATCTTCCATCGTTCCCTAGTAACCATTGACCTTGTTTTGACTCTCTTTTACTGCCCCATGGACCGACACATGCCACTGCGGTCGCATAACACTGACGGCAAATGTTTTCATAGGTGAATTTCTATTGGTATGCGCTTTGCTTGCGTCACGGTAACTTCTTTGGACTTTGGTTGACACACTTTGTTTCCTACAGTAGTTGGACACGTATTTTACCTTCTGTATCTTATTTCACTCCTGCCCTTGGTTTGGTCAATGGGGATCCGTGTTTTATTTCGTTCAAACGTGAACATGAGGAAATTTACCCGCTACACTGCTTGCGTGACAGCGAAGCGTCAGTACTGCATGCTGTCGATGCCTTAGTTATCGACCCATTACTATCTGACGGCTTGTTCGACGAATAGAAGTCCCCAACTGACGAATCAGAATGATCATTTGCGCATCGCCATTTCTCAATTCTTCGCTAGTCGGATATTCCACTTGCCTAATTACTCACCCTATATCTTCCCTATCTTCGTCTCTTTCTCTAATGCAAGCTTCACCCGCTCCCGATACAAAGGCAGAAGAGCCAAACAATGAAGAGGATAGCTTAGCCGAATTACCTGAGCAGGACACCACTCAATCTTACCATGTATGTTCACCACACGGTTTTGCTCATCCGTTGGGTTTGCCCTTGACGAACCAACACTGACTGTTCGCTTATTTGTTTCCATATTTTTCACAACTTTGCAACTGTTATAAGGTAATCCAAACGAGCGAAGTAATTATCTTTTGCACCTTCATCCAGTCCTCCGTTTTTCATCCACCACGGTTCTTTCCTCGGCTCTTTTACTTGCTCCAAATACATTTCATCGGTTACTTCTTGTAAGCTTTTCTGGAATGTTTACCGACCAATACGGCTTAGTCTCGGTAACTAAACTTTCAAGAGCCTATGCTCTGCGGTGCCCGTAACCCCAGGGAAGAAAACTATGCGTGAAGACAACACGGTGTAATCAACAACTGACAGGGCATTCTTCACTGCCATCCGATGGCGAAACGACGCGAGTGGTGTGTGTACGTGCGTACCAGTGTGTGTGGTATCCATCACCCTGTATGAATTAGAGCTTGACATTTAGTGCACATGCAACACTGATCAAGGGTTTTTGTTTCGCGTTGCTATCGCGCGCTTTTCACGCAACCGTCGCATTCCTTTGCTAACATCGGTCGCCGGTTTTCCTCAACGTGTCTAACACGTTAAAGTCGTCCTACTAATATTTTGTTAGTAATCCAATGCATTGTTATCTGAAACAGAAAGTAGCGAGCAAGCTTGTTTTCAGGGCTTCATCGTAAGGCTAATACAACTACGATAAAGCAAGCTAAAATCGACACAATGGGTTTAAATTCAGTGAGTCACTGAAACAGTAACTAATCGAAAGTCTACGTGCACCTCAGCAATTGTTTCTACCCTTCCGCTTTTCTTTTCCATTCCCCTTTTTTTCTTTTATGGTCTCCCTTTTACCTTTTAACAGCGCTTTGTGGCTCGTTATCGGAGTCTACAGATGCAGAGGAGGTGAGTTTTTCCTCTAAATGTCCTACTAATTTTCATTTTACTCATACTACCTAGCAGTCTTCGTAATCTCATGTCGCGAATATCTTATTATTTTGAATACATTCTCCCTATTTTTGACTAGGCTGCATTACCGTCATCCTATTGCTTTGTTTAGTACCTCACCATCTGCACGTGTTCTTATTCTTCCCTTTCAGAAGTCGCGGTTTGAGTCCTGTCTTCATTTAAAACAAAGTACCTGCGGCGTTCCTCCTTTTCTTACTTATATTGGCTATTGCATTCAGTCATCTTGCACGCCTTCCCTTTGGCTTCATCGCTTACCTGGTGGGTGCTAGTGATCCAGTGTTCGTGCGACGACCGAGTACCCTTCGGTATAATTCTGTCCTTCCGCATACTCTCTACAACTTAACGCGTGGCTGTTGATCTACTGCTCCCCAACGTCCCTGTGTATCCCCCCATCCAACTCCTTCAAGTAACTTATCAGCTATCTATCCTCACCATCGGTTCATCAGTTTCGGAAACCATCATGGTTTTCCTCAACTCTTGAGGCCATTGACTCCGGAGCATGAATACATGTTCACTTGACCGCACTGTTGTTCCCTGACTTTCGCGAGTCATTTGTTTCGTAGGATTTCACACACTGTTACGGCGACTTGCCCTATTAACCCGGCGGTGATCGTATGACTTATCAAACCGTCTCTACTTAGTGAAAAAGTCAGGTATGAGTTTATCAACTAAGGGAAGTGAGGCGTCGAGCTCAGATGAATGAAACCACACAATGATCACTTTTACCAATAGGCTAAAGAATAGTTAGATCGGTGACATCTGATTAGGCCGGGGGAAGCATAAGGTCGATAATATATGAATAGGCGTTGTGATATATTTAAATAAGTTGCACTTAAGAACCATTTCCAAAAAGTCCGCATCATGTCTAAAGTGGGAGCGCAGTGCAGCATGTCCCAGTCGATACCTGGGCTATTAACGTCTCCTACTAAAAAACAGTCCTTTTCCCAACCATGCATTTTACTTGAATCCAGCAAACTCCCGAACCGCAATGGGGCCATGTAGACAACACCGACCATGTGATCTGTATCCGTCATGGACACTGCACCAGCGACTTTCGAACTTGCCATCGCTCACACAAGTAGCTTCAACCAGATGAGCCTTGAAGTTCACCTTCCTGTGGAGGATCACACCGCCACTAGATCTCCCTCCATAATCGTCTGCCCGGCAAGGATGATATCCGGGGATCTGCCCCTTTGGGTCCAGGATATCCGCGGATAATCAGGTCTGAATTCCATCCACTTTGTCACTAAAACTGTGCATATTAGAAAAAATTACCCTCAGTCCGCTCTTCAACCCTAACGCTCGGGTATGACAAGGAGTGGTATCCGGCTAATTCTTGCGGTTTTTTGAACCACGCGAAAATCCACAATATGTAGTTCTGTGTCACCATGATCTCGGTTCATCAATCGCTTTCTTAATTTTCCTCTGTCCTAAGGGGAGAGGTCTCTGTTACACCCAGATGTATCAGAACAATAACGGGGCAATGAAAGTATATCGTAAGCAACGGCGCATACAGTAAGGGTATAGAAGCAAACAGCAAGCAAGTAACGTGAGTGCTGAGTTCAGTGTTCGATCAGACAGGAACGGATTTGGCCAATGAGAGGAAGGACGAAACACACACGCACGGATTGATGGACACACACGCGTACATTCGCAGTCAGCAGAGACGACACGGAACACTGGCTGAGGGCGCATCACTTCTTCCCCTTGTAGTTGCAACTATCCAGCTCGGAAACACTCAACCGGTCGGCGGTCGCGGGTTGATCTGCGCAGCGGCGATTCAGCTTCAGGGGGTGAGTCATTCGCTCGCATGTCGTCTAATACTGCGGGTGGAGAATTTGGTTCACAGGTTGCATCGGATGTTGACGGCCTTGGCCAATGAGAGGACGAAACACACACACGCCTACATTCGCAGTCAGTAGAGGCGCCACGGAACACTGACTGAGCGCGCACCAGTCTCTCAGCACGGAAAACCGTTCACTTTCATGACACGGAGCTCATCGGAGAATACGACGGGCTTCGTCATCATTTTGACATGCAATCTTTAGAGGGCGGATCTTAGAGGAGTCCTCCTATTTCCTTCCATTGAGAAAATGCAGTTAATGCTGATTTGTTGCTCATCTTCATCGAACGGTAAGATAATCCGCTATAGAAATTCTTGATCATCCAGAACTATTCCAGCTGGGGTTCTTTGGTGATGATAAGGCAACGGTTACGAGAGAATGATTTGGTAATCTCGGTGGTCTGCGGAGTTTAAGAAAGCAAACAATGAACAATGTATATATGCGGGTTAAGAAGCGTTGCTTTACTATTCCCGTTGGATAGTTGGTGGGATATCTAGGTAATAATAATGCTCATAATGTTAAGCATAGTAAAACAGTTAGTACTTTAAATATGAAAATAAGGACTTATCGTTTGCTCTGCTGTAGTTCTGCAATCCGCTTAGATTCACAGCACCCAGAGTTAACATCAAACAAATCCATGCTGAATTCCAGGTGAGGATGGAGACGTAGCGCCAAGTGACAAAGTATAAGTGGATGAGTGCGTCATCCAACCGTCTTTCAAGTACTGTTAGTATCCCTGCAGAGATGACCGTTTCTGGGAGAGCATTCCACGGGTGACAGGCACGAATGGAAAAGAAATTTCTGCGGCACTCCAGACGGCCATACTGTTCTGCGAGTTTCCATGAGTGACCCCTCATGGTTGTATTGGTGTTGAGTCGCAGTAAAGGACGGCACAAATGATGTGGGTCTCGCAGAATCAAGTATGCCATAATCAGGTCGCCTCGTAGTCTGTGATAGCTTCCGCTGGATACCCCCAATCGTTGCAGCTTCTCATCGTATGAAAGATTGCGCATTCCAATTACGTTCATAGATGCCCGACGTTGTGGCTGCTCTAGTGCATTAAAGTCGTGTTTCAGCCATGGATGCCAGGCTTGAATTGCGTCTTCGACGTGGGAGCGAACATACACACTGAGTATTTGTGGAAATATGGAACTGTTTATTTGTCCAAACGCCCGTCGCAACAGCCCGACGTGTTGGTTTCCAGTCTTCGAGGCCTTTTCGGATTGCCTGGAGCAACCCAGGTCACGTTGAACCAGGACACCCAAGTCACGTTCGACAGTTGATTGTTGCAGTACATTCGTTCCTAGCCAGTATGAGTAGCTGCATTTGGTATCCAGCACCTCTCCAAGTCGCCGACTCGTAGGTGCCCGTCCTAAACCCCTCACTTGACATTGTCTCCCGGCCAGAAAACGCGAACAGGGAAGTCGATCGTTCCGCTGGACATCCAACATGTGCAGGACTGTTGAATCCTTCATTCGGCTGGTCCTGTAACACAACTACAAAACAATTGCTCGTTCTTATTTTAACAAGACAAACTGCATACTTTGAGAGAGTATTTCGCTCTGGGCATTGATGCAAGATATTGCTGCAGCTTTCTATCAATTTGGTCCACTTTCAAGAATGTGATCTAATATAGGCGAAGATTTATCAGTCGTTAACTATAAAGAACCCTGTAACTGAGCGGTGAATATGCAACTCCGCTTTTCAAAGTCTACACCCGTTTTCTTTCACGTACACAGACAGTGACGGGAACACAACAAATCATTATCTGTAACAAACCTACGCCAGTCTCCAAATGGTACGCCAGTGAGTGCGGGCGACACAGGCGAATGCCAACAACGCATCACGAATAGCCAGGGTGAGTATTCAAAAGGAACAACTGCGCATCCATTTGCGTTAACCCTGTAGCATCGGGAAATCAGCTTCCGCGCCATCGATCGGCTTGAGCCATTGCAAACCGCCCACATCCGTCAATGATTCGCCCACGTTACCCACACTCGAATCGGTGGACCTGATCCAGTTCTAGCCTGTTCACCGTTCTTCCGGGTGATTCGGCTTGCGCCGCGTACTACTCCGTCGTCCGTTAGTATTCGAAGGAGCAGAACTCAACCTGTGTGGGATAAGATTGACACCAACAGTGCACGTGAAGCATAGTAGGTACAGTCCTACCTCAACGTTCTACCCAATAACTCGGTAAACAAGGAGTTGTGCAACGAGCTCTCAAGCGACAACTCACTGGAGTGGGTTCGCCAGTTCTTCGTACTGTGGTACTCGGTCCACGTTATTCCGTTTCATTAACAGCAGCTCCCCATAACTATGTCATCAAAACCCCGGTGGTTTCTTTGCAGTATAAGTATTAGAGCTTGCCTGAGGATAGAACGCCTTCTGGCGCTGTGTCCGTGTTACGTCCGTCGATGATATTGATTAGTTAGCTCAGCCACACCGCGTTCTTAATGTTTGTCTCGCATTTACCAATCAATAACTCTTCTTGTCATGCTTTTACTCGTATGTCATGGGATCCATTTTCGTAGATTTAGCCCGATACACTCTGCTTCGTACTGTGTCTTCTGCCGCCTGACTACGGTATGGGGGCTTGCTTTGCTTGGCTTTGTTACTACGTACTATTGACGACGAGTCCAGATGAACCCTATCATTAATCCACCTGCTAACGTTTGGTCTTCCGCTGAGGAAAACCGACCTTATCAATCTGGATGAGGTGGAAGAAATCATTTATTAACTACTTAAAACTACTGCTTGTTTTGAATTCCATGATTTCGCTTTCAAAGTCCCACCAAATAAGACTATTCAGACAAGTGCTGTGGGATAAAGGCCAGTGACATTATGATGCACTACATTTGGAAAATTGTAACACTTGTTGGGTGGTGCCTGGGATACTAGTCGGTAAGAGACGTGTCAAATACGGGACAGTATAGAAGTTAGCGGCGACTGAACCCAACTTATATTGTTCAGGCTACAAAAATAGGAAGCGAATCAACCAGAGCGAGAAACGGTGCAGCAAAGTACTCACCAAAACAATTTGTGTCAACGGATGTACCGTCAATAAAACAAGACGTTTTGAAGGTTAAAACAAGCGTAAAATCCAATGTTGCAAAATACTGAAAGTGTGTGTTTTCCGGTACACTACAAAGGCCTCCCTCTAGAAGGCTGAAGGATGGAAGCCTTCGATGAAGTTGTTATTGGGGGAAAACCGAAGGTGAGGATGGGTACGAATAGTTGCATGGGCTTGAACAAGGGCTTCCAAGATGGGGTGTGTAGCAGAGTTCGCTGGGTCCAGGCTTATGTTATTAATTATTTATAGTGATCGTGTGGACCCGAGTGCATCATCGGTAGGCCGTCGGGGCGGGCTAGTGGGACTGCAAAAATAGTGGCCAGTCCTAAAAAAGGCCAGGACATTTCCGACGGTGCGCCTGGAAGATGTCACTTCCCCACCGCACTCCAGTCCACCGTCTTCGTTCCTCGAAGAAATCCGAGCCTCTTCGTCCCACGAAGAAATCCGGCGTTCTCGTCGCCAACGTCTAGCCAGACGTTTGGGGACCAACCCGTTCGTGGTTGTCTGCGGCCGAGGTCGACTGACTGTTTCTTGGTCAGGAAGGGGACCTTGGGTCAGCTGGCGAGTCACTCGAGGATTGCCTTGGCAGTTCCGGCGGTTGAGTTTCTGG